GGATACCCAGCTTTATGTCCAGTATCTTCTGTTTACAAAATCCAGGGGGTGTTGGGGTGCTGTTTAGGCCTTGGGCCTTAGTTCAAATGAGTACTCGTTGAAGGATCCCTCACCGTACCTTTAGGGGTTCCAAAATTCGAGGAGATGATTGATTTTCCTTGTGGTTGTAGTGTTCAATACGAAGACTACCACCTTACTAGGTTCAGCCTTCAAAAGATGTACTCTCTCAATCTCTGAAGCTGAAACCTGAAACCATGCGCTGCAAGCGTTTGCTTCGAACCTACACGCGTGCCAGTTGCTCTAACATCTCATGGAAGCACCTCCAAGCCCGAAAGAAGACGCACGGATCCCCATGAACCTTACACTCTGAATCCTAAGCAGTGGGGACAAACCCTAAACCCTATATAGCCCGATATTACCCTAAGATTACCTCAATATAACCTGAACCCTGACCACCCTTAAAGGAGCCTAAAAAACATTACGCAGGAAGGCAAGACCTGCCCCCAAATGAGCCATAGTCTAAGCTCCTTGAAGGGGGTCAAATAGAGGATTGTATCAGGGACTACTTTGAAGGTTATTAAGCGGGATACTAGCAATTTAGACTATAGCCCAAATGGCGAGGTTGCTGAGGGTTTAGGATTCAGGGTTTAAGATTAAAAAAGAGGCCCAAGTGGCCGAGTTTCATGTTCTGACCTTTCTTCTACAAGGCCAGTGCGCTTGGAGGGTCAGGGGGATGAATAAGTAGGTTAATACTGGGGATAACTGGGGTTGCTGCATGGGTTATGGGCTACGGAGGTTATCAACCTACTTGCTCAAGTCCACCTGACCCTCCAAGTACACCCCCCGTGCCTTCGTGAAAGGATCTCCAGCGTGCCGGTCTCCAAGCCCTGACCTTTGCGACCTGTGTCACATCCTTGCAAGGCCAGGAGTGTTGGACTATGTCAAGGAATATTGGTTTCGAGTTTAGGCTTAGGGATTTAGGACTCAAGGTCCACTCAGCTTTACGAGTTGTGCCTACAAATACATGGGCTGCTACTATGAAGGTGTGGGTAGGGATACATACCCCTTCAGGTTCCCCCTAGGCCGTACATAGGCAAGGTAAGCTAGCCGTAATTATCCTAGAAAAGCCTAATTGGGGGGGGTTCTTTGTGGGGTACGGGGAAGTTTTTGCGTAGCCCGCTCACTTGCTGCGCTGTAGCCCTAAACCCTAAGCCCTAAACCCTAAATGCTAATCCCTAAACCCTAAAGCCCTAAATCTAAACCCTAATCGCTAAACCCTAAACCCAGACCTTAAAACCCTAAAACCCTAAAAACCCTAAAGCCCTAAGAGCTGGTAGCCTCCGGGCTGCCTTATGGGTGACGGGGCGGGCGATGAGTGGGCAGGGGGTGTAGGGTTCAGGGTTAGGGCGTGCACATCAACTTGTTGAATCCCCCTAAACTGAGTACATATTTGAAAGACTGTGGTGTTCACTTTGTGTTTTCCTTCGTTCCCCGCACCCTCAAACCCCAAAACCAAAACAGCAACGTCAGCGAACCCCTCACAAAACCTGCAATCTTGGGCCCACACCCCAAAACCCTAACCCAAAACCCTAAGCCCTAAACCCCGAACCCTAAACCACATATAATGGACATTTCGCAAGATGGTCTCCATTGAGCCCAGGTTTCCTGAAGGTTTCCCAAAATCAGGGGGTCTAGGGCTTAGGGTTTAGGGTTTAGGGCTTAGGGGTTTAGGGTTTAGATTTAGGGCTTAGGGCTTCGGGTTTAGGGTTTAGATTCAGGGTTTAGGGCTTAGGGTGTAGGGTTTATAGTGCTTAGGGTTCAGGGTACCCTTTTGGGGGTAAGGATCATAGTACATTGGGCTCTACATAGGGGTCCCCTATTTACGGAAACTATCATCACAAGTAATCAAGAACTTCCCCAAATTGTGAACTCTGCTTAAGTAGGGTTTAGGCTTTGCTGCTTAAAGCTTACAACCTGAAACGGGAGCTTCTGGACACTGAGCCCTAAGAGCTAATTCGGAAGCCCTCAGCCGGGTTCCTCTCCACCTACTTTCTAGGAATCTAGGGTTATAAATGGGATTTTTGTAACCTACCTATAAGGGCTTAGAACGGGATGGTCTTGGCAGAAACCATCCAGGTATACCTTAACCCTAAATTCAAAACCTTAAACCCTGAACCCTATAAGCCTAGAATCCCTAAACCTGAAACCATCAACCCTAACCTGTAAACCCAGGGGCCATCTTCGATTCCATTAAGAAGGATGCTCCAGAGCCGGTGGTCTGGTCACGAAGCTGAACTAAGGGGATGGGATTAGGGGTATTAGGGTTTAGTTTTTAGTAGAGGGGTTTGAAGAACATGGAAAATGGAATTGAACCCCTAGGTCCCTTTAAAAGGGTTTGGGGATAAGTGGAAACTCACATGGAAACTGGGCTTACGTAGGGCTTGTATTGGCGCTCAAATGGAACAAGAAGAAGCACCCTGCAGACTAAACGCTAACCCATACCTAGACCCCCAAAGTATGTAAAATAATGTCCTTTATGGCTGTTATTTTGGGTTTAGGGCTATTATTTTACATACTTTTGGGGTTTAGGTAAACCTTAAGCACTGAACCCTACACCCTAAACCACATCGGAAGTGCCGGCGTGGTGTACTGCCACTTTGCGGCAGGCTCGACAATTAGAAGAGCATTACAAAAGGGGCTTTTTTGTCAAACGCTACCGCGGTTTATGGTTCAGGGTGGAGGGGTTTACCTGGACCCCAAAGGTATGCACAATAATGGCCTTTATGGCTGTGATTATGGGTGTAGTGCTATTATTTTACATGCTTCAAGGGTTTAGGTAGGGTTTCAGGGTGTAAGCACAGGCTACAGGCTGCATGGAGCCGCCTTCTACAACACCAAGCCCTAGCTTCGCAACTTCAGAGACGGCATCCTAGGGATTATAACAGGGATCCTAATATTTCGGCCCTTAAAAGGAGGCCTTTAGGGTTTAGGGTTTGGGGTTCAGGGTTTAGGGTTCAAGGTTTACAGGGTTTAGGGTATATTTATCATGGGTCTGCATTAGGAATTTGCTGAAAGAATGTCAGTATCTCTGCATGAAGCCCAGTGTCCATGGTCTGTTCCTTTGTCTGCTGCATTTGGTTCTGCTAGCCTGGCCACTGAATTTTCGATTCTCTATTATAACAACCCAAAACCCCATATCACTTTGCGGAGGGCTGGTGTACATGGTGTGGGCCATAGGGTTTAAGAGGTTAGGATTTAGCGTTTCGGTCTATTTTGGTGGGTCAGTGGACTTAGTAAGTAGGTTAATAACCCCTATAACCCACATAGTAAACCTAGTTATCCCACTAACTTCTAATCTACTTCTTAAGTCCCCTAAACCCTAAATCCGCGTGACAGGAAGGTTTGTCTTGAATTCTTTCCCTAGGGTCCAACATCTGTCATGATGGTCGTTCTTTTGCGCCGTGAAGCTGTGAATAGTCAGAAAATCAAGAACAATAGGAAACAGCAGAATTTTGCCATATGTGTAGAGAACAGTTGGAAACTTCATCACAGGATCATCTTGTAAGTCAAATGTTATGGAATTGAAGCAGCAGCTCCCTAGCTCAGGCTTTGGAATGTCTTACTCCTACACAAACTTCGAAAGCATCCACCCGCAGCAATATACACCAGAGGGGGTGATTCGGGAAGTCCTGTAGTAGACGCTCCCAGGATTAAGAAGCCCCCCCACTTGGAGGGTCAGGGGGGCTCAATAAATAGGTGAATGACCCCTATAACTCATGTAATACCCCGCCTATCCCTGTTATAAACCTGCTTCTAAAGTCCCCCTGACCCTCCAAGTAAACCTTAAACTGCTGGGCCTTCGAATCCAACTCCTAGATTCCTAGACTTCGAGCCTCTGAAAAACCCTGAAGTCCAGGCACGGAGGTTTCAGCATAATATCTAATTTTCATCACGCTTACTTGTTAATCCGTATATAACCCGTTTATAACCCTTATAAAGCCATAAAACAAGATGTTTATAGGGCTCCCCAGCATGAGCCCCCTAAACCCTAAACCC